TGATTATAGGAGTATCATAATTTTTTATGTTAAAAAAATTTTTTGCTTTGAAAATTATAATTTAACTTACTTTGCAGAGTCTTATTAAAAATATATACCTATTTAAAAATAACTTGGCTGTACATTTGGCTACGATTTATTATATTTCATTATGTTTTAGAAATACCATCGGAAGAATAATATTTTATTAACGATTTGTATAAAAATTGATTCAATAACATAATTTTTAATATTGTAAAAAATATAAATTATTTGTTCTAGTTGCCAATACATATTACATTTTTTATAGTTTTGTCTTTGTAGGCCTTTATATTTGAAATTTTGTTGATTTTATTTAAAATATTTACAGAATATGTTGAAAACTTACGTAAAAAATTTTCATTACAACTTCGATTAGGGTGTAATTCATTAAACGGGTATTATATACAAATGAGCTTCTTTGGAAATCAATGTCATAGTATACGAAATTTACCAAATAATTTTATTGTGTTAAAACAACATAAAAATGCCTTATTCATAACAACAGAAAAATTATTAGTGGATAGCCAAAAATGTAAAGAGATTAGTGATGAAATTCATGTAATAAGTAATGTGTAAGTTTTTATATAATTTTATACCTATGGTTTACATTACTAAAAATTTTTTAATTTATATTTTAATAAAAATATATTTCATTTAGAGTTATAGAAAAGTTAATTGATGAATTACGTGTATATAATGACTTTTTTTTTCAACTATGTAAAGATGTAGGTGATTTAGACTTTCTTATTAGTCTTGCGTTAGTAAGTAAAATTTCCGGATTTATTCAACCAACATTTGGTCACAAACTATGCCTTATTAATTCGTATCATCCAATCCAATTTTTAGTGGGCTTCGAAATTGGTGTTTCTAATAACGTGGTAAGTATTATAATTGTATATTTTATTGTTTAACAAATTAAACAAAATATACCATAAGATATATACGAAATTATTGAATAATTTGCATAAGTGTTATGAAAATATTGGTATACTAGAATATCGTTTTAATTTTTGAAAATTTAATTCTTACAAAACGGCTAATGTTGTCTACAGTTTTATTGATGTTTTCTCTTGCCATTCAATTTTTCTGGTTTTTTTATATTATGATATAATATCAAAAAAATTTTAACAGCGGTTAATAAATTAATCCATTGTATATTAATACTATGAAAGTAGAGTACTGATTCATAGAATTACTAAATTACATAAAATACTTAATTTTATACTTTCAATTAAATAATATAATAGAATTTATAAGGTTGAGAGAAATTATATACTCGATAATTGCTAAATTTTTATTCAACCTATTGAACCCAAGTTTATTATTAATTACAGTATCAAGATAATGTATTGTAAATAAACTTTCAAAAGAGATTTTTTGATAAATTTTTTTCTAAAAAGAACGATGTTAAATTGGTTTTAACGCTTGTTATAACTGCACATAAGGATGAATTATAATTAAATTTAGATTAGAGTATTAGTGTAGGCACAAAAAAGTACATAGCAGGAATTTACATGTTATAGTACATGTAGAAATATGTAATGGTTTTATATGGATTAAATATGAAATTAAATGGACATACTTTTCCAATAAATTTTCTGCAAATAATGAAAGTTTTAAGAAAAATATTAATTTCCTATGAATAAATTAAATTATTTTTAATTGGACAATACGTAGCATATTATTTATATTAAAGTTTATATTTAGTCACTATTTATTTATTCCAATTATTCATGGTGAATACTAACTGCAGATCATTTGCATACTAATAAATTTGAATTTTGTTTAGGAATGAATAATCTGTAAGGTTTTATATAGGTTTTATATATTATACGAATCTTAAAGTTTTAGTTTTAGAGAAAACTTAAAGTTTTAGAAAAAAATTGTAATTTTATAAACATTTAGAATTTAATTCACTTAAAAAATACCATCTTTGCGTTTTGATAGGTTTTTGATAGGTAATTTGATAGGTAAAATATGCAAATTTTATTTTATTTATTTTATTGAATTTATTATTACATTTCAAAAATTTTATGCATACTTTAAAATCAACTATATTTTGTACAGATGAAATACGAAACTAAATAGCAGTAGTATATTCAATGTATGAAATTATTATTTATTAAAAATACAATATGTAAATTCAATGAATAATGTAAAATTTTAAAAATACTCTAATAAAAAAAATACAATTTGTGATTGAAGCAAGTTCTAAGACCGTTGACTATTGGCATCGCTAGTCTCTCTTGCTCTCAAGTTTCTGTAAACACTTGGGACGAGAATTTTCATATATTTATTATGGTTTGGTTTGAAATGGCCTACAATGTTTATGGTCTTCGAATAGTAACGTCGCTTCCAATTCTCCAAAGTTCTTACGCCTTGTTTTTTCCTAGAATTCTCGAAACTTCTAGAGTTTTCTTTCCGCACCTCATGTAATATTCCAGTGCAGCAACATCGATGCTTTGTTGTCAGATAAGTAAGATGCCGCGTGGATATATAAGGCAAGTATGCGGCGAGCCTCGCTCTCTTACTATGAACCCCTCTTGCAGTGAACCGATCTAACAGAGTACCCTGTGGAGTGAAGAAGTGAAGAAGCCATGGCACGGATTTCGATCTGCTTTAGCAGGACCGCTATGGAACGGTCAGTATATCTCAGCAGAGCCGCCACGGAACGGACAAGCCATCAATTTTCGTGCACGTATTCAACAGGCTTATAGGCTCATTGTTTATCAGTCGGTCAAGAGTTATAAGTCATTACGTTTTCAGCCTGTGTTTTCGGTCACACACGAGTCGTTCAGTTATATCACACAATGAAGCCATCTAAGAGGATACAAATCTAATTGTTAAACGTCCCACACCTACAAGCAGTCAAGACGAGAAACTACACTGCAACAACAAGCATAGTCTCAAGGTATGTTCATACATACACTTACATTATAAATATAACTGTTAATTAACCATATGTTAACGAAGTTTGCATACACTACACCTTTCTATAACCGTTCCACTTTACTTCCACCCAAGCATCTGCTATAGGGCGGCAAATTTTTAAAGCTATCGAAACACTGGCAGTTCGAGCCAGGAAATAATACCATTTTCGAACACAATTATAAGCAATAAATCATTTGATAAATAGTATCTAATTAATATAATGTTTTTATATTAACGATATTGAAGAACCATTTTCTATTTAATATCATTAGATATTCTTTATCAATAAAAGCTGTATTTAGAAAGGAAAAAAATTATTTCATTAATCAAACATAATAAAAGAAACAGTAATCATTCATTTTGTATTTCAACGTTAATGACCATAATTAGTATTTTTCTACATAATCTTATGTTTTAATTTAATTAAAAATTTAATTTACGAACGGAATGGATAGTGTTATTTCATATTTATTCGCATACTAAATACACATATTAAATCTAAGATACATACGGAAAATATTATTATTAATATGCATTTTATTATGTATTTTTAATACCTAAATAATTAATATTTTATATATTTTAGATACCTCAATATAACTTTTAAAATCAGCAATGCAACGTGTTTATATATTTTATTATTGGAAATAGTATATCTAATAATTTGTATTATTTATATTATTACAGTATATTATTATATTAATTATACAGTATATACAAAATGATATTATTTAAAAAAATATATTTATTGATTCTTCAATTACCATTTTATAAGTAAATAAAAATTTATAAAATATTGTAATGATTTTCTAATTAAATGGAATTTTTATAAAAAATATTTATTATAATTATTTTATAATTAATTCAATAAGTAAATTTTCTATTTTAAATTGTATATAATAATTAATAATAATAATAATTTTATAATATATAATATATTTAAATTCGATTTGATAATAATGATATTCTATCATAACTAATTTTTTTCACGACGTGAGAATATTTTTTTTACATAATATATAGCTTAAATGTATTTATATTATTGTTCTGTTTAATAGAATTTTGAACTACTTGTGTCTTATTAAAATATTCTTAAGTAGAATTCGCATATAAATCATGACATTGAATATAATTATTTTATTAAAATTTTAATATGAATTCATTATTGAATATATATATGTTCGATTTTCTGGCTCGAAGGGCCTAGATAAGGACTTAAGTGGAGTAAGGGTTGTAGATTAAGGGCTGTAGAGATATACAGTGTGTGCAGACTTCATTAAATATGGTTTATTATGGTTTATTGACAATTACATTATTGATGAGTTGAATTCACTATCTCATAGGAGAGTGTGAACTATGTTCAATCACAACGATGCAGTTGCTCCTTATTGCTTTTAACGATGTCGCTGAAGGATTAGAAATGGATTATGCACACTCTTTAGAAAGGAGTATAGCTTATTTATGTAATTGAGGCCTTTGCTAATGTTCTAAGGATTAGCAAAGAACCGTGTGATGCTCTAATTGAAAGAGCATGGCTTATGCTATTCTTACTCACAGCGATACAGTTGCCTTGATCCTATCCTGTGATCAATAGTTACTATCAAGAGAGATTACTGGTATACCTTTGTGATAAGGAGTACTTCTATACCATGCTTGTTGTAGTCGAATATTTTTTTGGAAATACAGTCAGCACCCTTGACTGTTTGTTAATTGACACGCACTGCAGAATGACGGCCGTTCCTTGTATAATGGCTTCACTAAGAGAGCGCGTGTTTTGACGCGTGCATGCTTTAAATATCCACGCGACAGCTTAATTAACTGGCAACAATCGATAAGTATTACTATGTGGATACTACATAAATATTATAGGACGTTCAAGAATAATAAGACTAGTGGGTTGGAGAATTCCGGGAAAGTAAAGCTTTAGAAGTTTCAAGAACTAGAAGACTTGTAAAGTTCTCGGATCCCAAACAATATATATTTAAAATTAAAATATTTTTAATAAAAAAAATTGGATATATACTAAGATTATAATATTTAAATTATAGGTTGCTTCTGTTCCATATAATTTTCAACTAATTACTGGACCAAACTTAAGTGGAAAAACAATGTACTTAAAACAAATAATTTTACTACATGTTCTAGCCCAGGTACGATCCATGTAATCATCCATTTTAAAATAGTTATTATACTTTTATCTAATAGATTTTTAATTTTTAGAATAAGAAATTTAATTTTTTTAAATTTGTAATCGTTATAGCTCATAAGATCGTAAACATTGATTCCGAAAATTCTATATGATTTTAAAGCTTTTGTTTGCGAATGTCCTGTAATGTATATGTTCGAGAATGCGAGACCTTTTCCTTTTTTTGTCAGTGCAATAAAACATGTGGCAAGTAACATCGTAAAAATTATATTTAGATTTCAATATTCGCTTGCTCAAAATTATCAAGTACTAGTGTCATAAAACATCTGGAAAAACAATACCATAAACACGGGAAAACCTATAGTTAGACATCTGCATTTTCGTTCCGCTCGGTAACTACTTCAAGCATTACTGCAAGCAGACCTTCCTTCCCCTTCCCGCTGTCGACAAGTTGCAATGCTGTCACCAGATGTGTCAGCGTTGCCCCCCCTTTCCGCTGACTACATGCTGTCGCATGCGGCAGTAGCAACGAGAGGTCTGCTTGTCATGAAGACCAAGAGACGACTAGGCCCTTAATTAACTCCGAAGCCACAAGAGGCGCTGCCCTCGCACTATAAGGGAGAAGTCTCTGATTGGACGAAAAATAAGGGAAGGGGTTCAAGTCAAATTCATAGTCAGCAAATGTATTTAAGGGGCGCAATTTTTAATACTCATCACTCTTGATAGTTTTTCTCTTAGTAGTATTCTCTTGATATTCCGGAGACGAGTCAACGATTAGTCTTCGTAAGTAGTATTTTTACTACAATAATTACATATATATTGAGATTCAGAGTATTACATCGACAAGCACTAAGGACGAGAAAGCTCCTCTTAAAACGACAGTGCGGAATAAATTCCAGTACGCATCGTCAAGTTCGCGCCCGCAAAAGGGGCGTCTCTTTAAGCAACCCTCACCTTAGTTCAAGTTCGGAAGCTTATGAAATTAAGCAACACACAGCGCGAGTGTCGACGAATCCAGTTTCGCGCCACTCTGTGGTATCTTTCAGTCATTACGCTGCATTCATAACCTCAACCACACACGTGCTCGTTCAAACAGCACTAGTGTCGACGAACGAAACTTCGCGACATTCGACATTCGTATTCAACAATCAAGCTGCATAGATTACTGTACGTTTGTCTCCGTAACACGTTACTTCAACCCAAGAGTTAATCTATAATGAATAATAGTAATAATAGTCAACCTTGTCAACAATTAATAACAGAATAAAAGTAAATACTTCAGTCACATTAAATTGTATTATTATATAATATCCCTTCCACTTGTGACCTTTCATCGCTACCACACAACACCCGTGGTCTCTGAGTTGTCAACGGCATCAAATTGTATCCGTCGAACCGGCCTTGATAAAACAAGTCGGAACGACGAGTTGCATTTTGTAGAGTATATATAGTTTCCGCATAGCAATGTCGTTTATTGATTTGTAAGAACCAAAATTTGTAGAGCCTTGTTTTTCTACAATTCACGAACGTACTGGAGCTGGGACTCTGACGTCATGCAAGACTTTCATTATGGCAACACCTATGCATTGTTGCCAGCGAAGTAATCTTCCGTGTGCATATTTAAAGGATGCAAGCTCGGTCTTTTAGTGGAAACGCCAGGGCACGGATCGCGGTTTACTTTAGCAGGACCGCTATAGAATAGTCAATATATCTCAACAGAGCCACCAGGGACCGACTATGCCTTCAGTTTCGTGTGCGTATTAAACATGCTTGTAGGATCACTGTAAATTTCTTGATAAATCAGTTATCCATTATTACTCTACACAGGAATTAAGCTCCGCCTTACACCAGTCAGTCAGTTTTTCAATATATACGCACGTAATTCTGCCAGGCTCTACAACAATAAGCTAGTAAGTCAACAGTGAAGTCACAATCATTTATAACCATTTAAGAGCTGATTGTATTACAAGAGTGAATTATATAAGAAGCGTACCACCAACGCACTCATGACAGAATTAGCTAAGACAATGAATTTCTGTGTACTTAACCGAAGGAGAAACCAAATATTAAAAGCACGTACGCGCCAGCCTTGTACGGTACTATACGATCGCAAGGCTCCCGCTAACGGGTGTGCGAAGGGACACCAACTACAAAGGCAGTTAGTTGAGTGAATCAAGTAGAGTCGTGCTAACTACTGTCTTCCCACTTAGATCTCGCGACGAGGCGCTGAGCTTCCGCCATACACCTCCTGCAAGACGAACCTTCCTCTTCATACTCCGCATGAGGCTTTGTGTTTTCGCCATACGCCTCTTACAAGATGAGTCTGCCCTTTCATACTCCGGATAAGGCATTGTATTTTCTGTATGCAATTTTGTAAGTGCCTCGTGCAAGGGATCCGATGAGGTACTAATTCAAATATATTAATATCAAGATGAGACTTCAAAACGAAATAAATGTTATGAAAACCAATTGTGTTGATTACTAAATTAAAGTATTACCCTCTAATTCATTCGCACTTTGCCACCAGTAAAATGGTGGGTATAGTCTAATCCAATCATCTTAGTCTGTCTACCGCCGGGTGACTAGAATTCCTAACACTAAGCGATTCATTATTATATTACAAAATCATTATATTTTGGAGAGTTAAGAATTGGTAATTTGAAATTATTAACTAACCAAGTGAATGCATGCTAAATTAAAAAGAATCTTGTAAAGAATCAATTTAGAAGTTTTATATATATTTATTTATTTTTATTATACAGTTATTATTTAAATAGTCTATTATTCTATGAATAACTTATTATTTTCATTTTAAGTCCAGTTTATTCATTAATTTTCTAGTTTATTTATATCATGGCTGTTTGTTAATAACTTAATCTTAATCTTAAGATAGAGAATATAAAGAAATTACTGTTTTATATAAAACTCTGCTTATATAATAATTTATATTAAAAATTTACAATAATAAATATTTATAAGGGACATGTAAACCAATTGTTTATCAAATAATATTATTTAAAACAAATTAACACCTTCTGTAAAAATAAGAAAGTTATTCAATTTCATTTTTGAGATACGATTGGCTAATATATATTTGTTCGAAAATGTGTTTGATTTTTTGGCACAAACTGCCACGTACGGTAGTTCAATTAATTTGTCGCCCGCTTTAGCTCATGCTTAGGGAAGGATTTAAGTGGAAGATCTGTAGAGATGTACAATATGTGCAGACTTGGTTAAACAACGTTTATTATGGTTTATTGACCATTATTTATTGATGGGTTGAATTCACTTTTCATAGGAGAGTGTGCACTATATTCAATAACGAGGATGTACTTGTGTAATGATTACCCTCAATAGAAACTACTGGTATACCTTCGTAATTAGGAGTAATTCGATGCCATGCGTCTTGTAGTCAAATATTATCTTGTAATATAGTCAGCATCCTTAGATGCTTGTAAACTTTGCGCACTAGGTAATTAAACGTGTGTTCCTCGTGATGGTTTCACTGAGAGAAGGTGATATATATATATGCATAATAACGAAAAGTTTTCAAATTAATTTAAATGAATTTTGGAACTTACATAATACCAATTTTCATCTTCACTTTATTTTTACGATGAAAAGTACTAATAGGTAAAGAAATTTTTTTTTAATTATTTATTTAAGAATCTAATCTTACTTGATTTTTAACTTATTTGATTCCAAATATATAATAAAAAATTTTGAGACAAATAAATGAAGGAAATAAGACAATGAACAATATATGGGTTTATAAATTTCAATTAAAGGAGAGAAAAGGACTTTCTTGCCAACCTTCTAGTAAGTTAAAGACATTGTGACAGAACATTAAAGTGTACATATAGTAAATTCTTATAATTAATAATGAAATTGGCATTCTTACTTATAACTAATATTATTAATACATAACAGAATACATAAAATATATGGAAACGGCTAAAATTTATAATATTAATATGAATATTTTATATTATCAACAAAGTTCAAATCAGTATTAAAAAACTATTTATTATTACGTACTTGCATTTCTTTTTCTATGACTTAATAATTGACTACCGACTATTTAACGATGTTGTTTTGCCAGATGTTTTATGGCATAGGAAAAGGTTCTAGCAATTTCGAACAGCTGTGTATACATGTTGAAGTTTGTAAATATTGATTTATTTTCTTGAAAATGTGTATTGGATGCAATATTAAATATAAATATAAAATTAAGCAAGTCATAAATGTAAGAAAATATCTATTCTGACTTAAATTATTAATACTTTCAAATGAAAGAAAAACTATCTTATACATTTCTTTATATTGTATGGTATATAAACAAAATTTGTATCAGGTCAATTTTTTGTTAAAAAGATTTATATTTTATAGTAAGGCACAATATTTATAATAATATATATTGTAATTCCTGTGACAATTTCTATATTTATATACAAAATAATCTAAAATTTGCTTTTATTATTCGGAATTTATTTCACGTTAATGTTCTTGCCAATTTTTATATTTTAACTTTAGCAAAGTTTATAAATATGAACGCTAAAATTCAAGTAACCGTTATACATACTTGTTAATTAGTTAATTTTATAGTTGATACATAATAGTAAAATATAAATTGAAATAATTTAAATTTCATAATATTTTTAAATACTCAAATAATGATTTCAAATAATTATCTAATTATTTTAAATCTTCAAAGTTTTTATTCGCTTTTTATAAAAGATCACTTTTCCATATTAAATTACTTTTATGTTATATAAAGTTATTATTTATAGTTTCATTTACATATAGATTTATTTCCATGTACTATAATTGACTTAAAAGAATAATAATAATTAATTTATATAATATTTTTCTTTTTTAGATAGGATGTTTCTCAAAAAGCTACTTTTCGAATTTGCGATCGTTTTTTATTTCATTCTTCAAATTATTATAATATACAAAATAATATCTCAATGTATGAATTTCAGGTGAGCAAAATATATTAAAATATATTAAACTTTTTATATTATTATACCAAAATATTTCATAATTCTAGTAAAAAATTAATCATTTTGTAGTAAAAATATAACATAATATGTACTATTATATAAGAGGGTGGGAGTAATCCATATAACATGATGCGAATTAATCTTTTCCAGATTATTGAATCGATTGTATCAGAAATATATATAAATAGTTATACTATAATTTCAAATTCTATTTTATTACTCAATGCTTATATATTTGTTTTATTTTTAGTATGACCATGAAGTTATTAATTAAGTAATTTTAGATACTTACTATTTTACATATTAATTTAAATGTTAACAATATTTCGACTATTGGATTTATATGTAATTATTAAAATTTTATTTTAAATGTCAATGATATATGTGTGTATGTGCATGCGAATATGCGTGTGTATGTGTGTATATAATGGCTTAGATTTCATTTTTCGATTATTTTTGTTATTGTGGGTATTGGGGTAAAGGAAACAGGATTAACTAAATTGATTACAAATATATTACGTTGGTTAATTGAATATAAAAATATCACAATGTAATCTGGCGCAGTGAAGTATAATGGAACAATTAGACAATAAAATGCAATATAAAATTAAATAATGAGATAATTTTGTATTTAAAAATGTATTACGGATAAATATGAGTATAACAAATAGTTTATATGCCAACTAGAATAATTTAATAATGATGTAATATATTTATCATTAGTCAAAACTAATTAAAATTATATAAATACTAAAAGGAAAACATTTTATTTATTTTTTATCTTTGTTCTCTTTTTTAACTTCGTATTCTAAATGAATATCATGAAAGTAGATACATAATTAGATCATTTACCAGGTATTAGGTTTGTAAGGGTACGTGATATCCTTTGATTGTTTAGTAATATTGAAAGTACTTATTAGTTAGATATATTATCTTTTATTATGATTTATGTAATAGTGAAAATGAATGTGTATTTTGTATATTTGGCGGTGATAAAATATTGACAAATATTTTTGTATCCATATATAATACGATATATATAATAATTTAAAATGCCTATATAATATTTGAATCTGTTAATAATATCTACACTTTCAAATCGTTAATAAATTTGATGAAACATTTTCGTGTATTTGGGTTGACTTATAAGGTTAATTATTAAGTATTTACTTAATACTTAATACAAATACACGAAAATGTTTCATCAAATTTATTAACGATTTTAAAGTGTAGATATTATTAACAGATTCAAATATTATATAGGTATTTTAAATTATTATATAAATCGTATTATATATGGATACAAAAATATTTGTCAATATTGTTTCGAGAGAAAATTTATATTATCATAACTGAATTACAGATATAATAAAATATTCGAATATAAACTCTTATTTAAACGAAGTTAAATAATTGCGTTCACAAATTATGTAATTCCATTACCTGAGAACGAAGTACAAATGATAAATTGCTGCGATTAATAGTACACTAATTAGTTAGAATAACTTATATAGAAAATTATCGTTATATATAAAATATAAAATAAAAAGTCTAGTAAAAAGTATGATAAAATCAGGAATACTTTTTACCACATTTATTAGTAGTTACGTATATATATATTGGCTAATTATCACGTAGAATAGAAAACTAAAGCCTTATCTTAATAAAAATATTAACTGGATTATGCCATTAAGTTCACAGTATACGTACCTAATAACCACAATACTGACAAAAGCATATTTAATTATTCAAAATTATTTGTAATTTTCGAGAATTTTTAAGTAATTAAATTGTCATTACATAGTCATTCATTTTTTTTAGATTAAAAGACTAGGTTATATTATAAATTTTCTAACAGATTATTCATTAGTGGTTCTTGATGAACCGTGTATGAGAACTACTACAGAAGATGGAACTTGTTTAGCAATATCAATTTGTATTAAAATATTAAATACAAAGGCATTTTGTTTTTGTACAACTCACCAGAATTATTTAACGCGGATGGCAGAATCATTTTTGAATGTTACTAAGTAAGTATTTCTACTTTATAACATAATTATATATTATTATTTTTTTTTTTAAATAAAGAACAAATTGTAACAAAATGGAAAATACGTTAAACAATATTTATAGAATAAATTAATATAAAAATTAATTTAAAAAATTTTATCTATATATAAAGAACATCTTCATAAATTCATATATTTTACCCATCATTTTATGTAACTAATTCATTCTATATTTATGAAATAAATTATTTAAAACGTAAATCTGAAAAATATGTATGGCTCTGTTCGGAAAATAATCCCACAATTTGACTAGTCAGCCAAACGTGCAATAATTAACTTAGAACAATAAAACCCACTGGATGTTATGTGGGGTTGCCAGGCAAGTAAAGGGTGAATGCACTGCTTAATAATTAACACATGTCTTTATTATTTCTATTTATTTGAATTGATTTACAAAAGGGTAAATTACAGACGAACTTTATATTTCTTGATAATTTTGTGGTGTTGAAATATATTTACTATGAATGAAGCAGGTTATAATCTATTGAATATTATCACTAAGAGGTTATCATGATTGTAGTGCTCTGATCGAACACTGGAATGCCAATGTGTTTATCTTAACACGTGTGTAGTTGCCTTTAAATATCGGTCGTAAGAGAGCCGA